TGCGATTATTATCCCCATTTTAAAAGTAAGGGAATAATTGCAAAGGGAATATTATAACTGGCCAGGTTTCCAAGGCCAGCAAGCCATAGAACCAGAATTCAAAATATGTTATCTGGCTCCAGAGCTGACTCATATAACCATATACTGTAGTGTCTCCCATAAAACATAACTAGCATTGAATCTACCCTCTCATAAAACAAAGCCCAAGCTTAGACTATGACACATTCCTTCCTCTTAGAAAACAGGGAGAGGAATAGGCATAGAAGAGGTCATGGATTCAAAATTGCCTCCTTTCCTATAATTCTGTTTACAGTAAATGCAATAATGTGATAAGTCTTCCCTATCTTACCCCATCTGACAGCCTATGCCTTTAGTTGTGTCATCGTAGAGAGAGACAACCTGCTGAGTCATCTATACCACTTTTCTGCGTCATGAAGTTTGGAAGAATGATCTGACTACAGGGTCATAGCTGCTTATCTTAGGAGACTTGACAAGGTCGCAGCTTGAAAATGCTATGACTGTGTTATCATTAGAGATTAAGAGAAGATTATTCAATTTATTAATTCAATAATAGTTTATCTTGTGTCTGGTGTAAGTAACCATATCATTATCGCATGTTATTTTAAAACAAGCTTAATTAACTATGCTTCTTTTTTAGTGTCTTATATTTATGCTTGCTGATAAAGATAACCCAAAGGCTATACATACCAATGTAAACAAGATGTCACAAAATACTTTTAAGGGCATCTTTGTTTGCATATCTATATACAACATATTGGAAATGACTATATGATCACATTTCTGAACACAATGCCTCTATATCTGAAGATATGTTCCAATTTGTATGGCCTTATTTGTAACATCTATTTTTCTGTAGTTTTATATAAAAGCCACTTTTAGAATTTATTCAAAAGACTTGTTACTGGTCCACTCGTCTTATTATTGCCCCACCTTTTTCTCAACTTTTCAGTGTCTTTTTGTTGAGACTATTTTAGTTTTGGACATAAAATCTGACACTTTAAAAATAATTTAAATCACATTTAGAAACAAGTTTAATATTCCTGATACCACACAGAAATAAATATTCTGCCTTAATTTTTAATTGGTAATCTATATTGGTTACTGGCTTGACATCTCATTTTCATTCATAGATTAAGTGGACAGACACAATTGATGAAATCATCCAGTGGTTCAAGGAAACATATATACAAATCAGTATAAATAGAGAGATATATATAGATAATAAAATAACACAACTTGATGAAATTATGTATATGTAGATATATAGGTCAGCATAGATATCTATATCAATTCAAACAAGTTATGTGCCATTATTACAATTCAACTGAAATCCCTCACTTTCTCCACTTCAAGTAATTTGATTACAAAACACCTTCTACTTGTTGGATATTTCAATTTCTTTTCTTTTCTTTTCTTTTTTTTTTTTTTTAGTTCTTTTTACTTATCAACAAGTCAATCCCAAGTTTTGATAAACCATTTACTGCTTACCTAGAACCGTGTGATGGTGCCAAAGGAATTAGAAAACATGTAAACTTTTGAGGAGTTTACAATCTGATTGGGGAAAACAAAACTTAAATACATTAAGTAATTAGAGAACAGCATGAGACAATGCCCTGAAGCCATTCATATAACACCTCATCCAATGCAGGCAAATCTAGTGTAGGGAGACAGGCTAGTCTAATACAAAGCAAAAATCAGTAATAAACATAGTAATATTTCAGTACGGACTGACAAGATGTTCACACTGACATACACAGTGGCCCTCAGAGGTAATAGAAGTACCTAATTGAGATCCCAGCACTCAAAAAACTATGCAGACATCTGACATTTTATCACACACCATTGCAGCTACTCTTTCAACAATAAATGCACTATTCATGAAGTTATATATTAGCAGACATTGTGTTTTCCCCAAACATGGAAGCAATCAGATGTCAAGGAAGTTTCAAAATTGCAAGTTCAATGTACAAAACTGTACATCTGTCACATATCTTGCCTTTGGACTGGAAGTTGTTTGTACATCTTTAAATAAAGAGCTTGGAGAAATTTGAAAGCCTAGCAAAAAAGAATGTGTTTCAGTATAATATTCTAGATGAAGTTAACCTAACTCATTTATTAATACATGATAGTAATCTGACCACCCCCTACAGACATATTAATATATTTAAATATTACATGTTTATATTAACAAAAGTGGAGATTTATGTGGATGTTATTTCTACCAAAAATATGAAAGCTTGTGAATACATATTACTGCATCTCATAAGTATTAGCTAAAAGAAATGTGTAAAAAATATGTCCCAGAGATGGTATATTTGCCTTTAAATGTTATATGGACAGTGTCGTACATAATTTGCATTCAGTAGTTATTTATTTATGAATTCCAGTTATCTTTAAGAAGCGCAGAAGACAAAACGCATGTGAAATTTCAACAATAGGGGTAGTTTACATGATTTTAAGATAAGGAAACAAAAAAATGTTTGTTGAATAATATAGAGTAGTCTTAAGTCACGAAAGTATTAGAGTCACAGAAGGATTTACATCTTGACTTTATCACCTACTAGCTGTGTGACAACTGGGGAGTCACTACCTTTTATGAGCCTCAATTTCCCTCATTGTAAACATGGCAACAAAAATAGAACCTACGTTATAGTTACTGTGAGGCTAAATGTACATAAAGCATTTAGCATTTGAAGCATTTAGCACATCCCTTCAGCCCAGAACGTGAATAGGTTTTCAATAAATAGTAGCTGTTATAAGCATTATTTACTTTAACAACATGCTATATATGTGCTATGTAATACTCAGCCATAAAATAATGCAATAGTATCATTTGCAGCAACATGGATGAAACGGTAGATCATTATCTAAGTGAAATAAGTTAGGAACAAAAAGACAAATATTCCATGTTTTCACTTATATATGGGAGCTACAAAAATGTGATCATATGCAGATAGAGAGTGGAAAGAAAGATAGGTAACAGGAACTGGAATGGGAGTGGGGAGAGGAGAGGATGAAGAGAAAGGGTTAAAGAGTACAGGCATACAATAAGACTGAAGGAATAAATTCAATGTTGGATAGCAAGATAGCTTGACTATACTTAACAGAAATGTATTGTACTCTGGTGGTGGACGCCCTTAATCCTCTGACCTGATCACTAGGCATATATACATATAACAAATTCCTAATATACTCCACATATTTGTACAGATTAAAAAATGTTATGTGGATATATGCACACATATATATAAAGTATATAAACCATATATATATATATTATATATATATACACATTTCAGTCAATTGTTATACATATGTTATATATGAACAACCAGTCTGATACAGCCTAAGATTTTTAGGGTATTATTTACCACAACAGTAAAAAATATACCATGAAGTCTTATATAATATCAAGTTTTCAAAGATAGGATTGTTTTTAGAAAAGAAGAAAGCCTTAAGATTGGTTAGGTTAAAGAAATTTGTGATCAGTTATTATCTTGTATGTCACTTCCAGTTATGAAATCATGAGCATTTTTTTTTAGTTTTCAGGGTACTCCCAATCCATCACCCACACCCTCCTCTTGATACCTCACTAAACAAGGGTAGGATTACTGAGGTAGAGAAGGGAGGACGGCATTAGGTTGCAACAGATGAACTGGAGTCATATGAAGGACCAGTGTGTACTTGGAGTTTCTGGCTTGAGATAAGATTGTAAAGAGCAAGGAGAATGGGGAAAAAACAGCAACAAAGTAGTTTTCATGATCTCTGTTCAGGAAAGTTAACTCACCACGTGACCTCTGCACACCCGCTTAACAAACACTTTGTGTGTGTGTGTGTGTGTGTGTGTGTGTGTGTGTGTGTGCAGGAGGACTGGGACCTGTGCAGCCTTGGTATCAGCCACCAGCATTCATTGCAATGTATTATTGTGGAATTGGGGGCTTGCTTTAGGATTGATGCCCTAAAGCTTCAGCACAGATATGGATCATGTGACTGTGCAGAATGCCAAACTTTGAACATTCACACTCTCACCGTTTTGCCATTTAGTCAGTTTGGAAAGTTCTTTATCATATGTGCTTGTGGAAATCCTGTGCATTCCTCTGAGTACTGTACTAATGCCCAAGGGATCCCCCACACCAAAACAGGACTCTGTCAAGATTTCTAGGACTGCAAGTTAGGGCTGACCTTCCCCTCCCAGGAGAGAGAGGGATTTACCCCACTCCTGGACCTCATCCCCTTCACTCAACCTCCCCTGTGCTAAGTTTGAAAGAACTCAGTGCCTTAGAGGAAAACTCTTCTCTTCACCACTCACCCCCGTGTCTCCACCCGCCCCTCATCACTGCAGCCCTGGATGCTCCTGAGGCTGCTTTCTCACCAAAGAGCTCCTGATTACATCTGGGTGGAAGCAGGGCCTAGGGAACTGCATTTGGAACGCATCCCTCAGAGATTCCATGCTCAAAGTCTTCAGTTTGAGTAGGGGGAAAGAAAGGAAAAAAAAAACATAATGAGTTAAACTGTTTAAGACATCAACCTGGGAGCTGAAACTGGAGGAGCTGCAGGTCCGACATAAGGGTCAAGGTCTACGTGCCACGGCTGAACCCCCCATCCACTGCCAAATTCAATGTTTAATGTAAGAGAAGGCTATCCCAAGATTACAGCAAGCGCACACTGGTTCCCTCCAGACAGATCGTGGCTTGGACTTATTCTAGCCCCGTGCTTGACTATATCTTAGGTTTCAGATTTTGTAGAAGTAGGGATTTTAAGAAGGGTAGTTAGCTGTAGTCCTGAGGGTATCAAAACGCCATGTGTCTGATACTGGAGGTCCTGGGGTACAGGCCCTCCGCAACTCTGCCCCTGTAGGTCTGCTACCCGCTTCTCCTCTCCGCCCCCTTCCAGCCTCCACCGCGCGCGGCCTCCGCTACCCGACAGGCACCCCACGCCCCGCCCAGCACTCCTCCCACTGCCTCCGCCCTTCACACTAGGGCCCCTGCGTAGTTCTTCCCCCACACTGACTTCGCTCTCGCAGCCAGCCAGCCAGCCACTCTTCCCGCTCTCGCCTAGGTCTGCACTGCCACCGCCACCGTCGCCGCGCTTTGACCGCGCTCTGCTCCCTCAGGCCGCGCATCTGTGACCAGGTCCGCCGCTGCCGCCGCCACCACCGCCGAGCCTCAGACTCTGAAGTCTCGGCGCCCGCGATCGCACCAGCTTCTTGGCCTTAGAGACCCCGCGCTCTGGGCTGACGCGGAAGCGCAGCCATCCCCGCCACCTCCACCATGGCCAACACTGGAGCCACGCGCCGCCACCGCCGCCGCGCCGCCGCCGCCGCCGCCGCCGCCGCCGCGGCCGCCGCGGCAGATAGCGATAGCCCGCCGCCCACCACGGCCCAGCAGCAAACAGGTAGCAGGAAACGGAAAGCGCCGGCGATCGAGGCCGGCGCCGGGAGCTCCTCGTCGCAGGGCTTAGCGGCGGCTGACGGAGAGGGGCCGCTACTACCTAAGAAGCAGAAGCGGCCGGCGACGCGTCGCTGGCTGGTGCACTATCTGAAGGGCCGGGAGGTAGGCGCACGGGGCACCGCGGGGCTTCAGGGCTTCGAGAGCGAGCTGCGGGGCTACGCGGTACAGAGGCTGCCCGAACTGCTGACGGAGCGCCAGCTAGACCTGGGCACCCTCAACAGGTGTTCGCGTCTCAGTGGCTGAACTCCAGGCAGGTGGTGTGCGGCACCAAGTGTAACACGCTTTTCGTGGTGGACGTGCAGTCGGGCCACATCACACGCATCCCCCTCATGCGGGACAAGGATGCCGACCTGGCCCAGGCTCATCACGGCTGTGGCATCCATGCCATCGAGCTGAATCCCTCCAAGACGCTTCTAGCCACCGGCGGCGAAAACCCCAACAGCCTGGCCATCTACCGGCTGCCCACCCTGGATCCCCTGTGCCTGGGCGACCGCCATGGCCACAAGGACTGGATCTTTGCCATCGCCTGGCTGAGTGACACCGTGGCTGTGAGCGGCTCCCGCGACGGCACCGTGGCGCTGTGGCGGATGGACCCGGACATGTTCGATGGCACCATTGCCTGGCACAGTGAGGTGGATCTCCCGTATATGCCCACATTCGTCCGAGGGATGTGGAGACCATACCCAGGGCCACCAGCAACCCGAGCAAACCGCAAGGTGCGGGCCCTGGCCTTCAGCGGCAAGAACCAGGAGCTGGGAGCCGTGTCCTTGGATGGCTACTTCCACCTGTGGAAAGCCCGGAGCACACTGTCCAGGCTGCTGTCCACCAGGCTGCCCTACTGCCGAGAGAATGTGTGCCTGACCTACTGCGATGAATTGTCCGTGTACGCTGTGGGCTCTCAGTCCCACGTCTCCTTCCTGGATCCGCGCCAGCGCCAGCAGAACATCCGGCCCCTGTGCTCTCGAGAGGGTGGCACGGGGCGTGCGGGTCGCTGAGCTTCTAACCGCCACCTGATCACTGTGGGCACCGGCCATGGCTCCCTGCTCTTCTATGACATACGCGCCCAGAAGTTCCTGGAGGAGAGAGCCTCCGCGGCCTTGACTCCACTCCGGAACCTGCAGGGAGGAAGCTGAAGCTTGACTGTGGCAGAGGCTGGCTCAACCAGGATGACGTCTGGATGAATTACTTTGGTGGCATGGAAGATTTCCCCAACGCCCTCTACACTCACTGCTACAACTGGCCGGAGATGAAGCTCTTTGTGGCTGGGGGCCCTCTCCCTTCAGGCCTCCATGGGAACTACGCCGGCCTCGGGAGCTAAGGATGGACGCCTTGTTCTCAATTTGCACAGGTTTACCTTTCGGTTCTGCCTCACTTCCTTCTTCATGCTGCATTTGTGCTTTAATTTTCTGTGGCTTTTGTCTTCCAGGTGGAACCAGTCTAACTTAAGTGTGCCTCGTGTATTAGCCAGAGAAAGGAAGAGAAAAAGAGAACTGGAACAATCCAGTGGGTACGAGAGAGCACAAGTGGTCCTTTGGACAGTCAAAACTTTGGCTTTAAAACTCTCATTCACGTTCCCAACAGCAGTATATTTTTGCCTTCTCATTCAAAGAGTTTTCACTGAACCTTAATTGTGTTCTGTCTTTCAGAGATTCACGTAGCCTCCTTCTTTAGGCTGATGCAGTCATAGTCTTCACTACTATTCAGTGCGTTAGTTTGATTAATATGCAATAGTATTCAGATCTTGTACACATGTTAGATGTATGGTGTTTGGGGGAAATGTGTGCTACAAAGCATCTTTGGGGCTGTTCTGAGGAACTACCCATCATTTATAGCCTTATTCTAATTAGAAAATACAGTTCAGGTTCTAGATTGCCACCATTGTAGAGTGTGGCCCACACCATTTTAGGGTGTGATTCATTTGGATGTTGGAAACTCAATGTCTGTTGCTTGTATATTGTTGATGTGTAAATGCTTTAAAAATATGTTCTCTTAGTCAGAAATCTTCATATTGTCATACTATTAATTAACAATTTTGGTTATTCAGTAAAACTTAACATCACTATCCTCAGGCCCTCAGTATTCTTGTTTAAAGCCGCTGTATTGTGGCCTGCTTTTCTATGCTACAGATTTTCAGAAATAATCAATATTGATCTATATATGTAGTAGGGCAATCAGGGAGGTATGGGCGGAGGGGGGGAACTCTTTAAATTCAGGTAGCTATTTGCAGTGAAAAGCCAGTTGTGGGCAGTTTGTGCTGAGAGTAGGTGTTGTTGATTTTTTATACTGTATACATGGATAATTCTGGATCCAGTATGTGATGTATTGCAGAAAAATAAATAAAATATGTTCAGCATCTTAGCAATTAAGTGGGAGACTTACGTTCTTAATGCTTAAATATATGCTTTGTTTTCTATTTGTCTTTCTGGGAACATGTTATTAAAGTCAAAACTTTCCAGGACTGAGGCTGAATCTGAAGCATCAGCTATGTAGACATTATTTGTACATCTCTTTTTGAAAATGAAACTTATGATTATAAGTTAAAAGATTACAAAATAACATCTGGAATACATTATGAAAATACTTGGTGTAAATTAGGATGTCTAAGTGTTTTTTAATATGACTGAACAAACCATTTTTAAATTTATACCAATATACATGTATATACAACTACTTACATATACAATATATTTGAATATCTCTTTGTATATGTTAGTTCCCATGTGAGGAGAAGGCATAGATGTACATCATTTTATATATGCAGCTATTTCTCATATGTTGAACTACCTATATTCAGACTTACCACTTGGTTTTTATTTGTGTTTTATGTCAATTTAGAATAATTTTAATATAAGCACATGATCAAAAAAACATACTGTATAAAAAATATACAGTTAAAAGTAAATCTCACACACCCCAGAGTCACTAGTTTATTGCCCATAGATTGGCACCAGTATATTTTTTGTGAATACACATTTAGATTTAGTCGATATATAGTTATATATATACGTATATATATATATATATATATATATATATATATACGTATATTATAAACATATGTATGTGTGTTTGGAACTTTTATACAAACAATAACGTACTGTACATATATGTGCCTTTTTAATCACAAGATCTCAGAGACTTTTTCTTATACGTATCTACTTAATTTTACTGCATACTGTTCTGTTGTGTGATTGGAATACACTTGATTTCTTCATTACACCTTTGATGATCATTTATGTTGGTTCTGGTTTTCTGTTACTGTAAACTCTTCTGCGGTGATTACTTAAGTGTTACATCTCTGTGTACAAGCATAAATATATCTGCAGGTTAATTCCTAGAAATGGAATTGCTGGGTCAATGAGTAAGTTCATTTTGTATTAATAGCCATTGCTAAGCCACCTTCCAAAGAGTTTCCCCACCTTAACCTCCTACAAGTAATGGATGCACACCTGCTTTACCACACCCCTGCCACAGCATGTCACCAAACTCTGTGCTCTTTGCCAATCTTATATCATCTACTTCAGCTTGGTCCCTTTTTTCTAAGCCTCTGTGCCTGATTTAATTAAATTTGTTGTCAGAGTACCAAGTAGGTTCTGAAACAAAGAACAAGAAAATGAGAAAATGAGGGCAAGCAATAGAAATGCTGCCGCACTAAAGGAAGAGAGTACCCACAGTTCAGACTCGTGTATCTGGCGATGGATTACACACTGCTACTTTCCTTAGATACTTAGTTGGAACTAGTAGGTTTTCCTGGTCTATTGCATGCTGGTTTAAGTTATATCCAAAGTATAAGATGTCACTGAAGAAAATCCAAGAAGGAAGACCATGAAAGACTAAACTAGGATAGTGGGTGGGTATGGAAAAGGAGAAAGTTATTCAAAACAATGAGGGAAAATAAAATGAACAAACAGTATTTCACGTGAAGGATGAGGAAAACCAAAAAATTTAGGTGGACTCTCAGGCTCCGACTTGAATATGAATGAATAGTGACAATAAATAAAAATAAAGAAAATTTATAGATAGTATGGGGGAGAATGATCAGTTTAATTTGGGACTTATTCAATTGGAGGTACCTCTGTGACATCAGGAGAACAAACCCAGGGAAGATTGGCTGTGTATCCCAGGATGAAATTTCTCACTTCTGGGAAGGTGAGTGCTATGAAACACTATGAATCTTGTCCTTTCGGAGGAAAGTAGAACAGAAAACATATGAAGGATCTTTAAAACAATAAAAAGAGAAAAAGCGTGGCTCAGTCGCTCAAGCCTGTAATCCTACAACTTTGGGAGACTAACGTAGGCAGATTGCTTGAGCCCAGGAGTTCCAGAGCAGCCTGGACAAATGGGAAAAACCGTCTCTACAGTAAATATAAAATTAGCTGAGGTGGTGGCATGCTCTTGTAGTCCCAGCTTCTCAGAAGGCTGAAGTGGGAGGATCACTTGAGCCCAGGAGCTCAAAGTTGCAGTGAGTGGAGATCATGCCACTGTACACCTCCAGCCTGGGCAACAGAGTGAGAACCCTGTCTCACTAAACAAACAAACAAACACATAAATAAAATAAATGGAAATTAAGAAAAAAGCTGGATGGGGAAGAAAATGGCATGGGATGATAGAAACTTATTCTACACAAATGCTGTGACCTTAGCATGAGGAAACAATACATTTTCTAATACTAAAATTATAAAGACTTTGAGTCACCACCTAAAAGCCATAAAGGGCAGTTTTTCTCACAGATAATCTTTCTAAGTATTTACCTAGGACTCCTTAAGACTGTTCAAATTGGTCCACTAATTAGGCTTTTGAATTGCTCAAACTGCTGTCTCTTCTTGGATAATGAAAAGCCAGACCTCGCTCACAAAGCAGGGTTCCACAGTTAGTCATTTTTGGACCACTTATTCTCCTACTCTGAGATGTAACCAGTATTCCCAACACCCAGCTAGCACCAGCATTCCTGACAGCCTCGCAGCAGTGGAACATCACCTCATCACCAACTGCTGCTAGCTCTTGTTTAAGCTCTCACCTCAGTGCCACAAGTGTTGGTCTCTGCCAACTTTCCCTGTCTTGCAAAAAGCAAAGGAGATGTCCAGAGGAGGATACTCCTTTCCTTAGCATTATAACAATAGCACAAATGCGAATTACTAGAAGTGAGACAGAAGAAATAATTACAGGCACAGATTTCTTTATTAGACAGGTAAATGTAAAATATGAGTAAAAAAAATCATCAGAAAATACAAATAACTAAACTTTTCAATAAGAAATAAGGAAGCAGACCAGACCATTAACTCTAGAAATGGGAAGATCTAGAGTGTCATGCAAAAATATCACATACATAAACAGATAATAGACACACAGATTTGATGGTTTCATATGTAAAATATCTCACATTGTCAAGGAATATCTTACTTTGAGGTACTACACAGCATAAAGAGAAAATAATTTATTCTTTTTTTATAGTAGGCCAGCAAAATATTAACAAATTTGAGTAAAATCGCAGAAAATAAAAAGGGACTGATTGACATGTAAATCGATGCCACTTATCCTTTAAAAACGAATGTAATCCATTAGTTCACCAAATCCATTAGTTGGACAAATTAGTTCATCAAATCCATTAGTTCACCAAATACTATGGCAACATAAGCTATTCCTTGAATTTAAGGAGTCTTCACTATTGAAAAATCTAGTATTGCAATGTATTATAGTAAGTCAAATGAGAAGACTCACATGCTCATATCACTAAATTATAATAAATGACTTAACCAAACTCTACTATTGTTTTGATAAAATTCTTAGTAAACTATGTGAAAAAATATTCTTCATATGGTAAGTGTGTGTATCTGTGTGCAGGTGTGTATGTGTATTTTGTGTTTTAAAACTTTAACCAGAATCTTCAACATTGGAAAAACTCCTGTGAAGGTAAGAAACAAACAGGAACTCCTAAAATCACCACCAGTATTTAGTGTTGTTACACATTCCCAGATTCTGCAATTAGAAAAGATAGAAATACTAGATATAAATATTGGAAAAGAGTTTATATTTATTTGAAGGCGATATATGAATGTAAGAATGATACATTCTAGAAGAAGCAACTGAAAAAAATATTAGGAACAATAAATAGTAGTAAAATGTTCAGTTTGGGGATTAATATATTAAAAACAAATACTTTTTATTTGCACTTCTTTACTCATTCAGCAAATATCTGTTGAATGCTTACTATATATCAAGCACTATTCTAGGTGCTGGATAGAATGCTGCATCAAAAAACTCAAGCGAGCCATGTCCTCATAAAGCTTACAGTCCATTGAGGAGAGAGACAATAAACAGATAGACTATCAAGTGTATAGGATGTAAAATGTTATCAATGTTAATAAATAGTTGAAAGAGAATAGAGAAAATAAGTTGAAACAGAGTGGGGGTAAAATATCAGGGGAGATGAATTTTAAATAAAGTGTTTAGTGAAAGTCTGTTTAATAACTTGACACTTGAGCTGAGATCTGAAGGAAGTGAAAGATTAACCTGTTCACCTACGCCAGAAAGGAACATTCTAGGTCATCAGAACAAGAAATGAAGAGGCCTGAGGTGGAACAATGCCTAGCATGTTT